CAGTCTCATCCACATGGAAAAATAGGGGTAAGTATTAAATCATTCGATATAATAAAACAGATATAGAAGTAATAATTATATATTATGATCAATTACGAAATCATCAACATACTAAGACATCTTCCGGAAGTATACCCTAACTATGCTCAAACTCAGAGACTATCATCTATGGGCACATTGTGATCGACACCCGCAGTACCATTCTGACCACCCTCCACACAGAGTAAGATTGCTGGCACCTTTAATCACTCATACTGGAGTACCCCTCCGAGCGCGCCACCACTCATCCTCTTATCGACTTCTCACCACCTGATCTCGTAGTCTACCTGACCTGACTAATCAGTGAAGTTTGGGACCTCATTCAGAATCCTCCGACATAGTTATTATACTAAAGTATTTTGTACCAACCCGGGTACCATTCAAACACAACAAAAATCATTCACATTTGTCGGATTCTGGACCACCTGTCCTCATGGCTTATTCAAGTCAATAAATAATAGTACTTGACTGATTCTGGGCACCAACCCTTCGGCTCAGTCTAGCCAATACATAACATTTCATGACTGATTATGGGCATCAGCCCTTAGACTCAGTTTGACTCACACACGTCACAACACACTACACAACCTTTAAAACTGCTACCTTCATTCTATATTTTAAATATATATATATTCTCTTTTTTTTCTGAAATCATTTCCGAAATCACTTTCGAAATCACTTCCGAAATCATTTCCAAAATCTTTTCTAAAATTATTTTTGAAATCTTTTTCGAAATCATTAAATTACTATTTTGCCCTTAATCTTTTCTGAAAATTTCATGTATGTCCCTAAATGACTATTTTACCCTTGGACATTTTCAAAAATTCCTTCCATGTCCCGAAAATGACTATTTTTCCCTTGGACATTTTCAAAAATTTCATTTATGTCCCTAGGATATAAAATGACTATTTTACCCTTGAACATTTTCAAAAATTTCATTTATGTCCCTAGGATGTAAAATGACTATTTTACCCTTGAACATTTTCGAAAATTCCTTCCATGTCCCTTTCTTCTTCCTCGCGCCAGTAACAGTATCAAATTTTGCAGATTTTGGCAGATTTCAAATTACTCAGTTTTAGACAACCAAGCTAGTCCCAAATTCAAATTAAACATGAATTATATATAATTTAAGTTGAAAACAACAATTTTACCATATAATTTATCCTTAATTTTAAGAATTTCAAAAAAACTTTCAAACGGTAAATAGTTCATCAGAATCAGAAATTCTTCAAAATCAGACATTCAAATAATTCATATCTCTACTCCTATTCTTTATTCATAGAGTACCCAACAATTCAATTTCATATATTAAATGAATTAAACTTCCCTTACCTGATGTGATATTTCTACCGAAGTTTTCCCACTTAATTCAAACTCTCTCCTGTTTCATCAGATCCTGCAGGAGTAGAGTATCGTTGCTTGAATTTTAGACAAAAGAGGAAGAATGAGGAACACGTAATATGAGATGAAGAATTTATCGCTGTAACCATTCCTCCCCCTTCGAACATATAAAAGAAAAAAATTTACGAAGTTTTCTTGCACAATAATATTATTAAAAAAATCATATGTTACATAAATAGTCATATTCTTTTAACAAACAAAGAGTGAAGTGTGTCGTTTTAAGTGTAAAAATGTCTTGTATGATTATTATTATATGAGTTAAAAATAATTATTGTCATCATATTCAGCCTTCACTTCAATTTTGTGTCTTGCATAAGAGATGATAGGAAAGTTAGTTAAACATTGTAGGTGTTTTGGATGTCATAAAAAAAAGAAGTAATCCCGTTTAACTTGTTTCTTTAGTTTCCAATAGAATATGTATAAATGAAATTAAAAAAAATGGTAACTTAAGAAAAGAAAACAACTTTTTTTTAGAGGGATAACAAATCAAACAGAAAGGAAAAAAAGAGAGAGAGTAAAAGCACTTCATTTGATTTTTATTTTTCTTTTATAGACGAAGATAAAATAATAATAATAATAATAAATATAAATATAAATATATATAACCTAAAATAGATAATAAAGATATATTGTTGGAATCATGTTTAAATTTTAAATAAGAAAAAAAGTGTAAATTGAGTTACATAGAATGGAAAGATATCATTGCATATCAATGAATGAAAAGAAATTATTTAAAATAAAAAATATATAATTTTTACTGTAATAAATATATTTAATTTTTATTAGTTTATATTTACTTTTCACTAATATATGAATGAAAAATAAAAGAAATATTATTTTATAAAATTATTCTCATTTAAATAAATAATATTTTTTTATATTTATAATTTTAATATATAATTTCAATTATAATTTTGATTAAATATCATAAATATAAAAGTAATTACAAAAATAAAATGAATCATTAAATATATTTTTTATTTGTTTTTAATATAATTTATTTTATTAATTTAATTTTAAATAATTTAGAAATTTTATAATAAATAATATTTTATAATTATATATTCAAATATATATAATTAAAAAAATAGATATTGATTTAAAAACTATTTTATTAATAAAAAAAATTGCAGTTATAGGTACTTTTGTAATTAAATAAATAAATATTTTATTTTAATTTAATTATTTATTAAATAGTTTTTCTTTTTATATATTTTTTCAAACAAATATTTCTTTCCTCGTAATTTTCTTTCTAATCATGTAAAATAAAAACAGACACAATTTTTTATAGGAAAAAACTCATCATTAAGTAAAGTAATAAAGTCAAACGCGTTTTCTGATAGGAAACAACGTACATAATGTAATAATGGCATGATTAAATATATGGTAAATTAATGTTATTTTCTATTGAATTTAGGGTTCAGTGACGGTTTTTTTAAGTTAGTAATTAAATGTTAAATAAATATATTTTTTTAAACTATGATTTTTATATTTATTTTTATTTTGGACAGTTTTTACATATTATCATTTAATGTAATTTAATTCTATCTTATCATAACATGAAAATTAAATTATATTTTAGTAATACTATACAAAACTTATTTAAAATAAGAAATTATTACAAGAGATTATTTTTTTAAAATTATTATTTTATAAATTAAAAATAAATTAATAATTTCTTACATTTTAAATTTTATTTTATTAATTTATAGTCATTACATTTTTAAATATATATAATTTAGTTTATGTTACATAAAATAAGGATTGATTTTTAATAAACGCTTTTTTTTTTAATATTTTTATTATTTTAATATTCTTCCTCAACCAAATTTACTTTTGATAATTTATTAAATTATTTTTCTTTAATATAATTAAAAAAATAAAGATATAATTCGTAAAATGTTAATTAAGAACTTATCAAATATAAATTCTGTAATATTTAAATAATTCATAATTGATTTTATTTTAATAATATTTTTTTCAAAAAATAATTAATGATATTTTATAATTTAATCATAAATTTTTTACAAAATAATATATATTGAAAAATAAATTTTATCTTATAATTAATATATTTGACTTTTTATATTTAAATATAATTTCTATAAATTTATTTATTGAATTAGATTTATTTATTATTCATACATAATATTTATTAATAAAAATAAATTGATCTAATATAATATAATAAAATTTCTTTCTTTCTTTCTTCATTTATTTATTTTTATTTATTTATTTATTTATCTTTTGTATTTATTTCTTTTTTTTTCATCTCTTTATTATTTTTCTCACACTTTTAAAAATATTAGATTAAAATTTGACAAAATAGATATCTTATTATTTTTGAGAAACACAAATATTTAAATTATCAGATGTACTATAAATGAATATATAATATTGTAAAAAATATTATATAATAAATTAAAACTATTAAAATTATTATTATTATTTAAAAATATTTATTTTAAAATAACTTTTTAATAAATATATTTTTTTAATTACTAATTATCATAACTCAACCTAATCATAAAATAATTAAATTATTAAATAAAATATATTTAATTTATTATGATAGTATAATTTTAAATTAATTATTTACGTTATTATAAATAAAATTATTTATTATTATAATATAAATTTATTTATTTATTATTATCATAATTTTAAATAATTAGCTGATATTATTTTAATATTACTATTATTTTTAAAAATTTATTTTAACATGTTTATCAAAATTTAATATAATAGGCTTAATTAAAAAAATAAGTAAGAGGTAAAAAAAATAAAAGAAATAAAATAAAAGAGATAAAAAAAGAAAAATTAAAAAAAATTATATACAAATAATAAACAGATCTATTTCAATAAATAAATAAATAGAAAGAAATTTTATTCTAATAATTTTTTTTATTTTAAAATGTATTATTTACAGAATTGATTTTAAAAATGAATAAAGATATATATATATATATATATATATATATATATATATATATATATATATATATATATATATATATATATATATATATATATATATATATTACTGTTAAAGTGTTATCCACGCGGGTCCTGAGATCGAGAGAGACACGAGACTTGTGTTGTTGTGAGGTACTGTCTCTTAACCCCAATTTACTAAAAATATTCTAAGATACTACCATTTAATTTACTTTTATATTTTTTTTCGTGATTTATTTTAGTTGCTCCTTCGTGTCACAAAAACAAAAAATGCAGAGAACATAGAGGAGACCCAGCAGAGAAGTAAAGTAACGTTAAAAATGACAAGACGCCTCACGCTTCGAATGGAATCTGGATTCCTTTTCCTTCATTTCGTGTCATGAACTGGATTTTCCGTTTCGTTTTTCCCTTGCTCAGAAAGATTGTTACCGTTAATATCTATGACATACATTCACTGAGTGAGTGAGTGTGAGCACTGTCCTATAAAAATACTCATCACAAGCTTCAAGTTAGAGAGCATCAGTGGAAGTCGAAGCCCTAGGTCTTGGTGTTTTCTTTGATTGAATCTGCGAATTTTCGTTTCGCTCTCAATCTCCGAATTTCCAATGGCGTTTTGGTGGCCGCTGCTCGTTTTAGCATTTGCTTACGGCATTTGTAGGTTCCTTCTCATGCTCATTCCTCCTAAGGTTCCTTCCATCGACGTTGACACTTCCGACGGTTCTCTCTCTCTCTCTCTCTCTCTCATATATATATATATATATATATATATATATATATACACACACACACACACACACATTCACAGGTACGATTTTGTGACGGTGAAATTGTGATAATGACAGTGCTGGACGATGGAAACCACACGCAGGAGAACAGTTTCATATATGTGAGTTTCTCTCTCTCTGCTTTGGTTTACAAATTGAATATGATGGAAAGAATCTTGCTAATTGGTGCATGATAAAGTATTGCATTTATTTTTCACAATCGGTGGGATTTGTTATTGTTTCCAATCCAGGTACCTCCTAGGGGAACGTCTCAGCAATCAGGGAAGATAGTTCAGTGCTATGAGCCAGCAACTATGAAATATTTGGGATACGTTCCTGCATTGACGCATGAAGAGGTCAGTGAGTCTTGCCCTGTGCTTTTGTAACAGTGTATTAGTAGTTATGGTGCCTTGTATTTGTCTATGTTGCCTAAGCTCATAATCCTTTAATAAGGAACTATGAAGCACTTATAGTTTACTTTGCTTCAAGTATTTGTATCCAACATGTATTATATTTTGATACTGTTGGATATTTTACCAATACACAATGTGTGGTATCCAACCTTTTTAGCAAAAGTTATCAAAATCCAATTTACTTACACATCAGATATAGAAGCATGTATAGTAATAGAAAGCATAGTTCGTTGATGAACCGAAATTTGAATTTGTCCTCTTTATGAATGATTTCAAGAAAGGAATAAGATTGATACTCTTCCTATTTGTAGACAATAGGAAGTGATTAATGATGACAATGATTTACAATTTTTATTTTGTTTTCAGTATTGTTTTAGAAGTATGTTCCTAATTTGAACTTGCATAATTGCAATTTTATATTTATTATGTTTTATGAACTTTTATACAAATCTAGATATGTATTATGTTGCAGTGTTGGATATACATATTGTATCTCATATAGACTAGGAAACAACTTAGTTTTCAATTGAGTAAGCTTCCATTTAAAATGATGCAAACCGGTTTCAAGCACACTAGAAATCTACTAGGACATCATTTCCATGCAAGAAATACGCTGGTTGTGCTGAAGAAAATCTGACTGGTCATATATTTGACCTTCTAGATAAAATTTTGTACTAATCTAGAGCAGTGTCGGTGTGCATGTGCAATGAAGACGACAAGGTTCAAATAGAATATTTCTACATTACAATAATATTACCAGAATATCACCATTTGAGTGGGAAGCCAAATTGTTATTGATTTTCATGTAGCAGATCGTTGGTCTGTTTTAATGTGATTGTTGATTATTCATTTTGTTGTCTACTTGAGGCACAAGTTTTATGTAATTCCCTTCATGTGTTTGTTGTTGTCCCAAATATTCCTGATATTGGCCATATTTAGTTTCCATCCATTTTTATATTATTTATGAATGTCTGCACTTATTTATACAAATGATTTAGTTTATACCTAGCATTCTTATTGGTTGTTATACATCTGGTAATATTCATGACATCTGGAAATATTCACGACATCTGGAAATATTAGTGACATCTGGAAACATTAATGACAAAGCATCCAGAGGTACTAAGATGACAATATTGATGTGAATACCAGTTATTGCAAAGCATGCACCTTAAAACACTGGTTTATAGTTTTTGAGTAAATTTTTTGCAAATAAAACATTGGCAGATTAACTTTAACTGCTTTGCATAAATGGATAGGTCAAGGAGCGTGTGGCAAAAGTAAGGAAGGCACAGAAAATGTGGGCAAAGTCCAGCTTCAAGCAAAGACGCTTATTTTTGCGTATACTTTTAAAGTATATAATTAAACATCAAGCACTTATATGCGAGTAAGAACAGTTCTTTTCCCCGGTTGTGGGGGAAATTTTATCATTCTATGTACACTGCTTGGAAACGTTTGTGGTACAAACTTGGACTTATTGTGTCACTTTTGTGATAAGTTAGGAAATATGTAAATCTTTTGTAAACATCCGCTGTTTTTTGTTATCGTATTCTTAATTCATTTTGTCTAAAGTAGATGTACACATGGGTTATTGCATGAGAATATTGATAACTAACTGTAATTTATTTGCTTTCATTAGAATATCTTCCCGTGATACTGGAAAGACGATGGTTGATGCCTCTTTAGGAGAAATAATGACAACATGTGAAAAGATCAATTGGCTACTGGCAGAGGGGGAGCAGTGGTTAAAGCCTGAATACCGGTACCTTCTTTTCCCAGTAGTTGACTATTTTCTTAAACTGATCATCATGGGTTATCTGTCTGATTATATTTTCTGTTCTTCCTGTGCCTATCTTACACCAAAATTAAGCCTTATAACTTCTAAAGCATGCATTATTTGATAAGAAAAAAAAGTTATAACTTCTTCCTTATACATGCATTTATTATCTCGTCTAAAATTTCAAATTATCTAAAGTAAATTCTACTATCTCTTTTGTTTTTTTTTTCTAGTATTTGATAAATAAAACATCTTTGTAGGTCTTCTGGGAGATCAATGCTTCATAAAAGAGCTAAAGTAGAATTTCATCCCCTTGGGGTTATTGGAGCCATTGTTTCCTGGAATTATCCTTTCCACAATATTTTTAACCCTATGCTGGCAGCAATTTTTTCTGGAAACGGTATTGTGATTAAGGTATAAAATGTATTATTATCTACCTATCAACATTTATTCTTCATGCTGTGGGTGTAGTATGTTGTTTTTATACATTGTTTAAATTTTGTACTTTTAATGGCTATTAGGTTAGATTCCTTGCTAAAAATATATCAAAGAGATATAAAACTTATCATGAACTTCCACCTAATAACCATTTAGAAGATTGATATGGTTTCTGCTAATAATAAGCTGAATACCAGTACAAGTTAAAATGGGTTTGTGCACTATCCATGCATTAGCTGAAAAAGGGCTATTTCACAAGGATCATGTTAGAGTTGGAGGCATGAAACCATTTTCAAGCTTCCACTTAGCCGCTTGAGCTTTTAGGAGAATTGGTATTTAACAGTATAAATCACTTTTATATTTTTCACTTGACTGAAATTATATGTTTTTGTAGATATCAGAACATGCAAGTTGGTCTGGATGCTTTTACTTCCGAATCATCCAATCAGCCCTTGCTGCCATAGGAGCTCCAGAGGACCTTGTTGAGGTGATAACAGGGTATGACCATATGTCTTACCATTCTGTTTTCCTTTTGTTCTATGGTAGTGTTTATCATCTATGACATTGTTATGGAACTTCTTCCAGGTTTGCTGAAACAGGAGAAGCATTAGTATCTTCTGTTGATAAAGTCATATTTGTTGGATCGCCTGGTGTTGGGAAGATGGTATGATTCTTCGGACGAATTGAATGTGTTCTCATGAATTGTGCTGCTAATACGCCCCATCTTTTTATGCAGATAATGAACAATGCTGCTAACACACTTATACCAGTGACACTGGAGCTTGGTGGGAAAGATGCATTTATTGTCTGTGAAGATGTAGATCTGGATCATGTATGAATCCTTTCTATCCGCCCCAAAGCTTGGATGTAACTGTTAATCATAAAAGCTTCAAGAAATCTCCATTCTTGAGTACCTTATTTTTAACAAGCTTTGATCTGCTGAATATAGGTAGCACAAATTGCTGTCAGGGCTGTTCTTCAGTCAAGTGGACAGAACTGTGCCGGGGCAGAGCGATTTTATGTCCACAGGGAAATTTATTCTTCTTTTGTTAGTAAAGTCACCAAAATTGTGAAGTCTGTTACGGCTGTAAGTGTTTTTAATAAAATGTCTAGATAAGATAAATACTTTCTCTCTAACTATCACAATGGGTTTCTGATGATCTTGTATGCTTGCACTTCATTGCCACAAGATTGTTTCTTTCAGAAATCTATCATATTGTTTATCATGTCGTTTCTGTAGTCATCTATTTGATTCAGACTACATTGCATTGTCATTTATTTTTTGTTGAACCTCTGCATGTTTTTTGTTTCTCTCGTTTCTTCTTTTCTTTATTACTGCACCCAAACAACCATTTGATGCATAAACCTTTGAAGAAAAAATGTTAGTATGAACTTATTACTGGCTTTATATCCAGCATGTGTGTTCTATGTATTTGGATCTCTTCAAAATAAATACTATCTATGAATTGTTAATGTATAGCAAAGAAATAGAATTTAATGATGAACAAATCACATTGGCATGGCATCACTGGCATGCTCCAATTCTCTTCTGAGATGATGTTTTCCCTTGAAACAGAAAGTGCTGAAATCTGGATTTCATGATTATATACTGTCTGAAAGAAGTGGCAAAAGAATCAGAAATTTATGTTCATTAAGAGTGATTTAACATCGAGGACTATAATAAAATAAGAGCTTGGTGCTAATTGGTTATTGAAGAATAGAGAAGTATTGAGTATAAAGAAGTCAATAATTTTATTTAATTTGTGGGTTATTGATTTCTTGCAGGGGCCACCGCTTGTTGGAAAGTATGATATGGGAGCTCTTTGTATGCATGAGCATTCTGAAAGGCTTGATGGCCTATTAAATGATGCTTTGGACAAAGGAGCTGAAATTGTTGCCCGTGGGAGTCTTGGGCATATAGGTGAAGACGCAGTTGATCAATATTTCCCTCCTACTGTGATTGTGAATGTGAACCACTCAATGAGATTGATGCAAGAAGAGGTAACAAACATGCCATCTTTCCTACTTTAAAATATCTCTCTTTTATTTTATTATTAGAATTATTGTGAACACACTCATACATCACTTCACATTAGCATGGTTTTCATAATCTAATTGCAGTCAGTTACACCACTTTTTTAGCATAATTACACTAATTTTGCTACATAATACTATATTAGTGCAAGTCAATGACAATATGAGCCATCATGTGCAAGAAGAGTTATTACTATTGTTGTATTTAAGTGCTAGACTGCAGCCATTTGAGTTTTTTTTTTTTTTTTTTAAATTTAGATTGCCATATCCTATGACAGTCATGCACCTCAATTGGACATTAGCATTAAAGAATTTCTCTTCTGTGATGTGTACTTCAGCAACTGGCTTACTAAATTCATTTGTGAAATTAAATGCTTAACTAGGCATTTGGGCCAATCATGCCGATAATGAAATTCAGCTCTGATGAGGAGGTTGTCAGGCTTGCAAATGACTCAAAGTACGGGCTCGGCTGTGCTGTTTTCTCAGGCAATCAGAGTCGTGCCCGAGAGATAGCTTCACAGATACATACTGGGGTAGCTGCAGTTAATGATTTTGCATCAACATATATGTGTCAGGTAATTTGTGTAATGATATGATCTATCTCCTTGTCTATCTTGCATCTAACTGCTAGTTTAGAATGTGTGTTGATCTCATGATTGTGCAACAAGTAAGCTGACTGCAGAATTTTCGTGATCAAGAGAATTAGATTAGAGAAATTTCTCGTACATAGTATTAAGCCACTTAATTAGGGTGTGTGAGAGAGAGATTACTGAGCAAATGTAGGAATATGAAAAAAATAGCTGCACCTGAGGGCTAACGAGGAAGTTAGTATAAGGAAGGTTTGAAACGGTTCAGACAGTTTGCTGAACATCCAACTATTGGATTTAGTTCTAAAAGGTCACAACATACAAGAGTACATAGAAATTTCACAGGCCTGTTAATAAGAAAATAATACTTATTTGCTGTTGCTAATTTCCTGTTACAACCTTTTGTTATGACCTACTTGTGTAGCAAATAACTTATACGGCATGTGTATTTTCTAATCACATACAGATACATGTTTAAGAGAAAGAGATGTCATTTTTATTTGGGAAAAATGTGTTTTTAAAGTTTTGCTACTTTTGGTTAAATGTGGTCAAGGTCCTTATACTTTCTTATCCATGAATCGGGTTCTCAAGCCTAAAAAAATGTAAATTTAGTCTTCTCTCTAAGAATTCATCATATAACTAGATTCACATATTTTTAAAAGTTTGAGAATCAAATTCATGATCGTGCTAGTAAAAGGACCTACTTTTAACTTAAGACTTTTGGTAAAGTACCCCCTCAAGTTTTAATTTTCGTAGTATACCCATTTGAATTTTAAACATCCAGCAATTAACTGTTTTTATTCCCAAAATATTGATTGCAATGATAGCCCTAACACTTTCAGATTTTGCTTCTCTACTGGGAAGCATTGGTTTGCAAAGAAGATGCATAAACACAATGACATGTTTGATATTAAAAATGCAAATTGAAGACTGATAAAATTAATAAGTTACTTACAATTATTGGTGTTTAGTTTGCTAAAACTATTAAGTATTTTATCAGAGGCTAGAAATTGAAAGTGGATAACCTGTTTAGCTCATCCTAGATTATCATTCAGTTTTCACTGAAGTAATTATGCATTATGATTTTGCAGTCCCTGCCATTCGGGGGAGTGAAACATAGTGGATTTGGACGATTTGGTGGTGTAGAAGGTTTGCGATCTTGTTGTCTTGTTAAAGCAGTTGTTGAAGATAGATGGTGGCCATTTGTCAAAACCAAAATACCTAAGCCTATTCAGGTCAGTCAGGAACACTTTTTGTCACAATGTACTACTGTCTCTTTCCCATACCTTTAGATGTTTAAGGTTAATGCACATAGATTAAGAAATATTCAATGGAAGCAAATAACTAAAAAGCCCTTATTTAATATCCCATGAAATTGTAATAAATTATACTTATCTCAACTATAGAACAGTAACATTGAGAAAAAAATTAATTAGACTCTCAAATTCTAAAAATCTATTGTTTGTGATAAAAAGGAAGGCAGCTAAAACATCTAATATGGAAATGAGGTAGAATTTGTTACTTCACGGTGAATAGAAACTTTAATGAGCTTCTTGTCTTGCCACAGTATCCCCTTGCAGAGAATGGATTCGAATTTCAGGAGTCACTTGTTGAAGTGCTTTATGGTCTTGGCACATGGGACCGCTTGCGAGCATTAGTAAACGTTTTGAAAATGCTGACTGAGCAGAATCCTGGTGGCAGCAGCAGCAGCAGCAGCAGCAAGAGAAGAAATGACTGATTGTCAGGTCGGGTAGCGTGCTATATGGCTGATATTGTCATACTAAAACCCTGGCTCTAGTTTTGCTGTAAAAGCAATAAATAATCCCTTGGTTGCTTTCGGTTCTCATATTTATCTCCCTTAAACTATTCTACATCTGTGTCCTGTTCTGTTCTTTTCTTTTTGTTGAGCTTTGGTATTAAGTCGTCTACAAATTTCCCGTGACTATAGCCAATTTAAGGTTTTTTACTTTATTTTAACTTTTAAGGAGACTTAAACTCAAACTAGTTAGCGTGGTTATAATATGAATTGTAGGAGATATCTTACTGTGATTTCGACGAGTACATAGTTCTCTAGTTTTGAACCCAACGAGTGAATGAACTATGGGATGCAGGTTAGCCTAAAGGCCTCAAGCCTCAGGGTACACAATGTTCCAATGTTACGTCAAAATTGTGGGTAGGGCTAAAATTCAAGTTATTATAGGGTCTGTTTGATAATCACCACACTCGGTTGTCTATATAGATTTGCCTTCTATGTTCGGTATGATGGGCTTTTATCTCGGTAACTTTCGAAGATATAATATTCAATATGATTGGTTCTTATCTCGGTAACTTATCTTGAGCTTGGATACATCTTGAGCAAATGTTCCAAATAGGGTGAGATATTATTCGAGGTTCCAAAAGTAGAAACATCCGATATAGATGTTCTAAATAGGTTTAGATATTAGTCACGGTCAATATTTTGGTCGAGTGTTACATATACTAGGTACATCCAAAGCAAATGTCTCAAAAAGGTCAAGATATTAGTCGAGTGTTACAAATACCAGGTTTAATTTATGCATAAACTAATTTTAACTTTTAGAAAGTTTGTGGTATTTTTTTTTCTTATTTTTCTTTTACATATACTTATAGAAAAAATTGTCTAAATAAATCTTTAATTAGTCTTCATTCATATTATAGAAAATACAATATCTTTGTGCGATTGTGATCCATGTTTGGGTAGATATTCTTGAAGGCTGATAATAACAATCAACTTGGTTAGTCACTAGTGGAGCTATAAGGTTTAACATAGTACACGGGTAACCTTAAACTCCATCAAAATTTTAAAGGGTATATAAAATACAACTTGAATGTAAAATTAAGAAGTATTTGAATAAATAAGAAAAAATTAAATTAACTTCTTAATACGTCATAAGTTAAATTATGTAAGGAGTAAAAATCATCTTAAGAAATACTCTTTTTCAAGAAGAAAAATTAAATTTTAAAAAATCAGCAACATATCAGAACTACTTTAATTTTTAAATTAGAAAATATTTGTCACTTGGACATAGTAGTATGTTTTATACTTTAATTTTTTCCATTCTCAAATGCAAGAATTTGTTTTTCATAAAATAGTCTTTTGGAATGTAAACCTACTGGATTATGCATGTATGCAAAGATACTCTTATTTCCATTTTTTAGAATTACTAGTGGTTGATCGTTTCAAATATTAGTACAATGTTTTCTCCATGCGAAACATTCACGCGCATGAAAAATTTGAAAATAAAAATCTAATCCTTGATGTTGTATATAGAAGAGCAATTATCCTACATTTTTAAATGCCTTAAAACAACTGTTTTTTAACTTTATTTTTCTATTTTTATCGTATTTAGGTGTCATCAATTATTACGACGTCTAAGTATATTTTTTCTATGTATATTCATAAATCAAAATTAACCTGGACACGTAAGTTCTTAAAAAACTTAGATAATAAACAATTTTTTTCAAAATATAACACTTCCTAAAAAGATCCAAACAACACAGGTAAAAAAAATGACAAAGGAAAAAGATAATGAGAATAAGTTGAAAGAAAATATCAAGTTTAAATAATCACTAAATTAACATTTTAATTAATTAATTCGTTATATTAATCTTTTGAAATATTCACTCAAAATATACAGCAATACTCAATAGCAGAACTATGGATCCTTGCACTTTCCTTTGGGCACGTCGCATGGGGTGGGTCCAGGCTTCCACTTGTGTGATTGTGAAAGGAATGGTGCGGCTAAAGTTTCATTACAATCCCAGTGTCCCCCTTCGTTTATACAACAATGTGCATTCAACAATTATTCACACTTGTATGCACGAGTGATTTCCCACGAAATTGAATCGTCTAAGAGGCCATCTATCTCACAACCATCTCGCGTACACTTTACCAATGCAACCATAAACCTCTCATTTCCTAATGACGAAGGATACATTAATTGCTCGTCCTGAAACAAAAATAATGTGATCTTTCAGAAACAAGCAAGTGTTTTTAATAACAGTTATGTTAGTTGGCACTGTTTAAGCTCAGAATTTGCAATTTCTGAACATTATCTGAACTCAACTGTGCTTGCAATAGACAAGGGACATCAAGTTTAAGATGTTACCTCGGGAAGTTCATAAAACTCCTCAGGCGCTATCTGCAACAAATCCATAGCAGTTTGACCTGTACACCATGCTAAAACTTTCGTACCCTCATCCGCAAGAGTAATTTTCAGATGAAAAGTGCGTACTACCGTAGCATCAGAAATTGTACCACAAAAGCTACATTTCATCGAACTATCAGATATCTTGTTCACAAAATGACCACAGAGAGAATGTGAAAATCTTGTATTAACGTAATAATACTCAATTGGATCAAGCGAAACTCGACATACCTGCAACAATATTTAGGAAAATGATCAGAATTTGTAGATGAACAATAACATAACGGAGATACTCTTAAAAAGAATAGGCATGGAAAGATTAGAACCGCCTTCTAGTAGTCAAAATTTATTTGGCTACAATAATATGACGCAGTATATTATCTATGCAATCCTACTATTTGTTGTCTTGCTCTCTATTTTTTAGAGAACAATAATTCATGACACTACTATTTTATCATACCTGTACTTTTCTCTACTATTATCTCATTAGGTGTCAAATAGCATATAAAAAGTCTACGAACAATTTTTTATTTTTTTTATTACATCAATAATTGTTTAACTGTACAATTGCATATATTTTAATAAAAATTGTGAAGGTCGGGTATATGTTTGTCATTCCACACATTATCTATGTCGCATTTCTTGCATGTGAAAAACGCTTTCATAGATGAGATTAGAGACATGTTTGATCGTATTACTCTTTTTAGAAAAGAAAAAAAAAATCCATAAATTAAAATTTATTTACAAATTAAAACAAAAAAGAAAGAAACAGATTATCAACAGTAAAACCTAATCTTCTAGTAGATATTTTACATTGCATGTTCTAAATTTGGTCTGGTTACAGATCATCAACAGTAAAACCTAATCTTCTAGTAGATATTTTACATTGCATTTTCTAAATTTGGTCTGGTTAAATACAAATGACCAAAGATAAGTGAACTAGTTGCGACTGGCAAATTACAAGCCCGGTATAAAACACAGTCCAATCATCTGGTATCCTCTCTAGTGTTTCACTCGCTATGGTTGAGCACATGCATACAGCGAGGAAACAAGGAATATCGAGGTTCAACAATTATAAAAAAAAGTAGCTAAGGTTATTGAAAGATGTTTTATTTTAAGTACATATACAACATATTCTGTATATGGTATCATGTTGCAATATAACTATAATCAATGATTTGTCAGAAAATTGTTAACACAGAAGACATTAGTGACAAGAACAAGACACCGTAATAAGTGAAACATGACAGGAAAAGGCAAAATAGACATTCAAATAATACTGATTCGTTACACTTACTTGCGCATAGCTAGCCTGATCAGAAATATCAGAGAGTTGCGACAGCTTGTGAAGGCAAGATGAATTGATCAATGCTGGTAAACAACTGAGATTGATGAAAGAAGCTCCAATACCATTCTCAAACCATAAAACTTCCAGACTGTCAATCGAAAAAACATTCAATTGTATAGATTAAAAGACTCATTCAGTTTTTCACCGTCAATTTTCATAATTATCTTTATCATGTGGTGACTGGTGATGTGCACTAGTTTTTAATTTTAAATTTAAACTTGGATGTGCTCACCGATTTTGTTTCGCAATTGAGCATGTCAAGCCAGATATGAATACAGTGTGACCGAGACTCACTCTTCCCAATGACCTGAGGTAAATATTATAAGAATACGGAGAGCACAAAAGAAAAGAATATTTGGAAGTGTAAAGAAACATGTTAATTGGTTTAATTATCCTGTTCTTTACCAAAATTTCGCAAAATGAAGCTTAGTCCAAATTTCTCCGCTAGCATCCGCGACTTTTAAAGAGAAAACAGTTTCTTCGTTAGTTTGTTCTTTGATAATATCTTTAACAACACCATAGAGACTGATGCCAGTCATCTTGTTACGAAGGTCGACCACAAATGACTGCAAAACTTCACACAGGTAATAAAGTTAGGTAATCAACCATAAGATACACAAGCACACCTTTTACAGCAGTGCACATAAGATATTGTGAAAATATTAAACATAAAAGACAAAAGCTAAGAACACATTTTTTTTCAGTTTGTCCTTTATTATTATAACTGGCCCAGACGGGAAAATTTTATGTAGCATTCCATTGAATCAATAGAGACCCACATTATTTATGGCAACACATATTTCACGCAATAAAGAGTATTAAAATTATGTTGCTGAGCTAAAGCCAATCAAACATCGTTTATTGGCCGGGTTCCAATATAAATAAATATCTAACATAAAGAAAGTAAAATAACATGCGAGATAGCTATTGAGATCAAGAACAAATAGAAAATAAGGAAAAACTATCCTTTAATTTTCTTTGGAGGGGAGGTAGAGGGAAAACTCACCCGAAAGGGATAATTGCTGAAATCAATGGTCCCCTGAGAATCACGGGGCAGGCTTACTTGAGAAACCTTGAGATCCTGACTGCTATTACAAGAGCCCAACGGCCGTGAGCCATGACGGCGATTTGGAGTCAATGTTACGCACACCTAATCGGCAGAGCTGTTAATATATTCTCCATGTGACAACTACAATAGTTTATGTCAATACAGAAATCTATAAATCACCTGTTCTTCATGTTGAACATAAGGCACCAAATATAATTGTGTTTCACTTCCGTACTCGAGGCAAAAACCTTCCCTTGTCTCAACATCACAGTCCTCCGAACTAGCAACATATGGTTTGTCCAGTGCAAGCATGCTTCCCACCCTGTATGCTCCCCAAAAATGAATGTTATACAGATATGAAAAGAATTATTCAGCTTCAGAAATCTGACCACCGCAAGAACTCACCTGAAAAGATTGGCCAGGAGAATTTGCTCACCCCACAAGAAAAACTTTATTACGACTTCATCAGAGTCAACAAGAGTAATCTGTTTTCTTTGTAAGATTCCAAACTTCCCTAGAACTTCCGAAGATTCAATCTTTTCAATCCTATAATGAATATAAGAAAATATTAATAAACTAGTAAATACTTTTAAACTTATAGCTGCACTTGCATATTTGTACAAACAGTAAACTCAGGCATGGTATTTTATAATCACAATGCTCTGTAGATTACCAACGTGCTGACAGCACAGTCAACTGGAAAAATATAACACCAATTGCAAGTGGTTTACCTGGCATAAAGTGAATATGAAGCCCCTCCATTCACTGCATCCGGAGAAATTGAAGAGAAAGAGTCTGAACAAAACTGAGCTCCTAGTAGCATTGCATCATCATCCTGATTCTACGATTTCAAAGAAAATGAAAGAATTACCAACGTAAAAATTTGATCTGAATTTGATCTTTTAGGTGTAGCACAAACACCGAAAGGTAGGAGTAGTCAACAGATGCACATGATTTGTTCTAAATTAGAACTCCTTCCATATGCAACTACAATTATCCAATCAAAATGCCACAAATTCATGTTGAGGCAAACTTTCACAGTTACCTCATCCAACAGAATCACAAGATACTCTGTCGGTAAAAGACGTGGAGGTCCAGAACCTCCAGTGGAAGTTCGGAGGTAGCAACCAGTGAGAAAAATCTCCCTCCCTCGTTTCAGAATTCCATTCTGCAGGCCTGCCAAGTCATAGAATCTGCTGGACAAAATATGATATATTTAATATTAAATGAAATTGCAAATAATAGCAAGCCAAGTTTTGATTTCAAATTACTCGCTAAATATTTCAAACGGAAAAGAGGAGCAAAATCAATACTCAATACTTGCATTTTGTGCAAATATTTTAAATAAATGTAAGTCCTTGGAAACTTTAAAAACTTATCCATAAGGAGATGATTGGTTAACAACCGGTAAATCTGCCACAACCCAAAACAACGCTATATGTAGTGTTATAGTGTTATTTTAGGTTGTTAATCAATTGTATAGTTGTCAACCAATCATTTTTGTTTTCCGTAAGATAAGTTCAATCGGTAACAATGGAAAGCACAAACAGTCCAAAGACAAAACATCTTCTTAAACATCGTTACCGTCTTGTCTAACAAGTTGAAGAAACAGTGCACTAAATAATAAATAGAAGTCCTAAACTTTTCAGTATTTTTAGGTTTCCATTATTTTTAGTAGCAAGGGATACAAGCCATGTGCAGAGAACGAAGAAGAAAAAATCAGTTGCCAGTGCAGGCATAGTGTATTTTTTTTTTATTATTATTTACAATGCATCAAATTACAAATCAGACCTTGGTTTATTTAATACAATTACCTGCGGTGTAGATAGAGATCTATGGTATTGGAGCTCCAATAATCTCCTAATATAAGCATGTGGATGTTAGTGCCTGTAGATGACAGGCATCAGTCATTACGAAACCAAAATAAACATATGCAAGAATCAATGGATGACTGTGGGCTCTATCAGAAATCAAATTTTGAATATAACAATGAAGAGTGGGGTCTTTTTTACTGATTTCTCCTAAAGACCTAAACCAAATTACTCTCTACTGCACTTAATGTTGGGTAAATAAATATTAAAACCGACGCCTATTTGCAAATAATTAACGAAATAAACTTCATTGGTTGGTCAAGTGCGACGACAAACTAATATCTTGGTCTTCAGACAAGATTAGTTATAATTATAAATCGAAAATGCAAAAGTTGACTTCAATTTATGGAGAAAACAAATGCACCTTCCCGTTATTTTCTCCTCTTGCAAGAGCTATGGATAAGTTTATTCAATCAAGACCCAAATTAAAAAAAAAATTAATTATTTACAATTTTGTTTTGAATTAATATTTAGTACTTGTTAAAAACTAATATTTTATTAGATTTCTGGACTTGATCATTTAATTTGGTCCCTCCTTATCCTTAATTTGGCTTGGTGTTAGGAACAGCATTTGTTATTATAAATATTTATATTAGAGAAGGCTTTTGCAGAATTTTCTCCCACATTTTTTCACTCTCCTTCTTGAGTTACTTTCGTTGAAAACTGGCTACTTTTATAGTCTCAAATTATTATCGGGAAGAACAGAGTATGTATGTATTCTTGTACCTCGCGTTAATAATTCCTTGAAAACAGTGTAAGTTCATACATATCAGGTAAACATTGTTCTGGGGTCACTCTAAGTTCGTGATTTCATAAAGCAAGAACAACAATCTTCACATTCGTTCGTTCCCGACATTAAAATATACGCAGGAAAAAAAATGCTTTGATTCAAAAGTACCTGGGAGCACAAAGGCATCAATGATAACAGCTTCTAGAACACTGCTCAAAGTCAGGAAGTTCTTCTGGTATATAGAATCAATAGTAACAGTATTCGGAAGCTTTGTCCTCCGATGATTATTCCTGATGTGGCTAATTACTTCAACCCTCTTTTTCGGAGCCCCAACCCTGCGTTGCTCGCTCCACGCCTTCAAATCAAACCAACATTAAGTAAAGTATAGAAAAAACCTAACTAAACTCTACACCACGCATTAGTAAAAGCTAAACTCTCATCAAAACAGTAATTGCTACATAACCTATCTAATTTCAAAAAGAGAAGAACATAAACGACTACAAAAACCTCACTAATCCATTTCGTATTCCGTTCACTGAGGATATCGAATTCAAACAGAGAAGAAATGGACGAGCGAGGGTGATGTACCTGAGAGAGTTCAGAGAGCAAGATCGCGGGAGTGACGCCGCTTGAATAAGCAATGCAAGTCTTGAGAATACGAGACAAGATCCAACTCCATCCAAGTCCAGCGGAACCGTCATCGTCTCCCATTGCATCGCCTTCCAGTGATAATAGTTCAGATCTTGCGTGTTCCACGAATTTGAGAAAGGGGTCTTGTTCTTCCTCCTCCTGATCTTCTTGGCAACGGTCTACGTCCATGGCGGAATCTACCTTTGTGCTGAAGCAATGATGATCGCGATTCTCCATTCTCGAGTCGCTGAGTTTTCAGAACCAGAAGGTGGAAACGAAAAGTGTAACTGGAACGCTTATTTGGCGGCTTGGCGCGGTTTTCAAATGAAAATGCTTCTTTTGTATATAGGTCTTCCACTTTTTGGCGGGCAATAGTTGGTGGGCTAACGTACGGTTTTAGGGGCCAGATATCATACAAAGGCTGGCCCAAGAAAACATACAAAGGGTTGGGTTGGTGATGATGGGCTCCGGTCTTTTATGTTAAGAATATTTCTTTATACACCCCGTACACTATTTGTTGTAAGCTTTTAGTCATGGATTATCAAACATATCGAATCTTATGATTGAGCATATTATATATATATATATATATATATATATATATATCTTAGGAGGAAAGGAAAACACCAAAAGAAAAACTAATATATAGTGAAGAATACTACTATAAAATAAGTAAAAAATGAGATACATACGGTTAAAAATAAAAAGTAAGAAATATATATTTATTTTTAATATGCCTTTTATAAGAAGAAAATTAAGAATGGAATATGCTATCTTTCTATTTTCAGCAACAGTTAAGAGGGGAAACTTATATTTAGAAAATTGAAAAAAAAAAGTAACAGTATGTGACTTTGTTAGGTATATTGTGTGAATTTCTATTTCATAGAAGTAGAATGATATTCACTATTTATTGAAAATACGTTTATTTTACGTGTACTCTCTCTCTCTCTCTCTCTCTCTCTCTCTCTCTCTCTCTCTCTTTATATATATATATATATATATATATATATATATATATATATATATATATATATATATATATATATATATATTCTCTGATGCTTTTTTATGTGTAGATAATTTAGTCATGTTGTTTTCTTTCTGGTATCTAGATAAGAAAAACTTGGGTTGCGCACTGCTTATTACGACTAATTATATAAACTTATACGTCAAATTACTTGATATTAGTTAATCAGATGCCTGATAAAAGATAATCTTAATTGTTTAAACGAATATTTTAAATCTTAATTGAAATGAAATATAATAATAATAATAATAAGTTATATATGCGAGTACATTTGAAGGAATGTTTTATTAATTAAACTAATATTATTTTTTAAAACTATAAATTCACAGCATCAATAATTATATATTTTAATTATCGACAAAACAATATTTTTGTTATACATATACATTTTGTAATATTTCGTTGTATGTGCAACGAGAATATATATATATATATATATATATATATATATATATATATATATATATATATATATATATATACTTAAAAGTCCTCTGAGTGAGTAAGTCATTCCAAGTATTCATAATTAATTTTATTAAAAAAATTATTTTACTAAAACACTAGTAAAAATAAAGTGCACGTCCAAAATTTTATTATTATTTTATTAAAATTTAATATATATATATATATATTATTTTTAAAATATAAATATATATTCTTAAAATTGTAAATTATTACAAATAAATGAATGTGAGATAAAATTTTAAAGAATTTAAAGATTTATATAATTTAAAGAATACGTGTGTATTGGAAGAAGTGGAGGAATTTTTTTTTTATTTAAAATTATTTTTCCTCCCTGACAACACTAAAAAAGCGGTTTAAAAACATGTTATACATGCAGATATATACTTTTCTTACTTTGAAAAAAAAAATTGTTGTTTTAATCTCATATTCTATTTTAGACTCTAATATTTTTAATTTTAATAATTTATACTAGACCATAATTGTTTAAATTATTTTTTCACCCAAAAATACGTCTAATATTTATGGAAATAAGCAATGAAAATGTGAAATAATATAAATATCATTTATCCTTATAGATTTTAAAAAATAATTAAATATACTTAAATAAAATAATGTATAAAATGTAATTAGAGTTTTTTCATTAAATATTGTATATATTTTTCTTTATGAATTTATACAAAAGCAATTACATATCATATATTTATATTAAAAATAAAAGACTTCATTTGAATATTTTAAGAATTATAAAATTAAATACGAGTAATTAAAATTATGAAAAAGTAAGTAGAAATAGTAATATATTTTCATAACGTAAAAACTTTATCTGTTTGGTAAAAATATACAAACGATTTTATATATTACTTTATGCTGAAAATAAAGTTTTTCTTATCAGAAGAATATTGGAGATGGCAGAAATCACTTCTTCTAACGATTCTGATCAGATCATAAAAAATTTGAACCACAGTAAAAACACATTAACATTATGTGCCACTTAACGTTGCGACTGTGATTGGAGCGACAGAGAGAAATAGACAAGACGCTGAAATATTCGGGTTGCAGTGTCGATGGATGTATTTTCAGAAATACATGCAGAATTTCTACAACCTCTTCATTAGAATGCACAAAAGTCAAACTCCTTATAAATGGTTTACAAAACCCTTTTCCCTTCTGTAAACCATAAGAAAAATTCAAGAGGAAAACTTCTAAAAATGAAAAAGAAATCAAGAAAAATAAAGGAATCTGACACTGCCATGCCCTCATGTTTCTCGATATTTTCCATCCGTAAGGTTTTTACACGTCTAAAGTAGGCTTGTGATAGTGTTTTCTGGAGCAGACATAAGAAGGACAAAGCAATTATATGTTGAATGACTAAAAGTAAAACAAACAGTGCAGTGATAAGAAACAAGCGAATATATACACTGTGATTTAACGATATTCTTGTTTGGCAGTGGCTGCTTCTTCACGTGGTTTCTTCAACGTTTTGCCTCCACAAGGAAGTAGCTTGTGATAACCACAATAATTTAACATAATGCAACCTTCAGAAGAATATAATATACAGTAAGAAAATAAATTGAATATCACTTTAATTCGTCTACCATGAAATGAATATAGTTATGTACTTCCAAGGAAAATAAAATATATGTACTTCCAAGAAAAGGGCATTAACATGCTGAGCGAGCTTCATTCAAGTCTCTCATTCTGCCTAGACATCAGGAATATTATATTGTAATACAACATAACATTTTTTTTCTTATAGAGGAATGATTAAAATACATAAAAAAATATTCATTATTTTAATACGAATGATGCAATTAATACAAAATAATATTATTTATATAGCATTTCTTTACAATATTTTGATACATTTTTTTTATTTCTTAACTAATGGTAAAATTGATATATAAACAATCAAAATAAAAATGAGGCTTATAAAATTTAAAATAATTTTTTTAGCTATTTTAGCGTAAAATATTTGAAATGGTTATTTAACCTTTTATTTAATTCATAATTGATAATTTTAAATTTCATAATTAAATAGAGTACTGTGTCAAGCCTAAAATTATCATGCCCCCATTGATTATCTATCTGGCTATTTGTATCTGCTAGGGTTGAGATCCGCTGAAAAAAAAAAGACCAAACCATGTAGTACCTAAAACCCGGTTCTCCCAACGTATCTGTGACAACTCACAACACCTGGGTGTTGATAGAAATTATCTATCAGCATTACCATTATAATCATTATGTGTTGAATAGAAATTAATTTCGTGGAGTTTTATGTCGAAGGAGTTTGGACATATAACAAATGATTTCTTAGGGTGTATCGCAAACGTCATTGGTATGTCTTTTTCATAGCTACGTACACATTTTTTCAGTGACAAAGCTTGAACAAAGTTATGAAAATCTTTATAAATAGATTCAGTGGTCATTTTGAAAGGCTACTGTTTCAGTTTTGTGCTGCAACCCGTGTAGATTGTGTACTTGTATTTGTCCTAATGACGACGACTGTGATGAATAATGTCACCCTTAAGGGAATGCTATTTTCAACGGATGCATCAAGTTGCGTGTTTTGATAAAATAGTTATTAACGATATATTTGATAGAGGTGATCCAGTCGATCATAGGACATTGTGAACTAACAGCCAATTCTTTTCCACCACATATATATAAGGATGCCGAAAGACTTTGGATGGTTGGGGGTGAACCCAACCCAACCTCAGAAATCTTTCTAATTTCAGTTCACACTACTACATCACTTGCTTCTTTTAGCTAAGGAAGAGAAGAAATGGTTGACACTTTCAGTATAGAGAGCAGGCTTCTTATAAGAGAGTTTGATGAAGATAGAGATGTTAAGGTGGTGGGGAAGCTTGAGAGGAAGTGTGAGATTGGGACTAAAAAGGGGGTCTCCATTTTCACCAACATGATGGGTGACCCTTTATCTAGGATTAGGTTCTATCCCCTTCATGTTATGTTGGTGGGTAGCTAATACCTTTTATTTTTCCCCTTTACATGATTATTTCTCCAAATCCAAACTTGGAAACTTGGGTTCAATTAATGTTAAATATGTACTTCATCCAACAATCATCTTCATATATATAATATTCCATTTCTATACTTTCTTTCTACTATGAAAGCTTTATCTGTTTCGAATACACATGCATATACCACATTACTAGCAGATGACTACTAATCATGTATATGTTTCATAATGCCCTATACAGGTGGCTGAGCTGCTTGAAAGCAAGGAGCTTGTGGGTGTGGTTCGAGGGTGCATTAAGAGTATGCGAACTCCTTCTGAATCATTGCTGAAGATAGGTTGCATACTAGGCCTTAGGGTCTCTCCTACATACAGGTACTTGTTAATTAATACTATAATTAGTGTTAGGATGTAAAACCTTGAACTTGGTACTGAAGATTGCATTGCAATATAGTTAATGTTGTACTGAATAATACACCACCGGCATTTACTTATCTATGCAGGAGAAAAGGAGTTGGACTAAAACTTGTCACCTCAGTTGAAGAATGGATGGTGAGAAATGGGGCTGAGTATGCATTCCTAGCAACTGAAAAGAACAATGATGCTTCTAGAAACCTATTTACCAACAAATGCAAATATGTGAGCCTGAGCTCACTTGTCATATTTGTGCATCCAATTAGTTTCCCTTCAAAGCACATTTCCAAGGATATAAACATTGAGAAGGTAAACATAGACCAGGCGATTTCCTTATACAGAAGAACCCTGAGGACGAAAGAGTTTTACCCATTGGACATGGATAGTATTTTGAAGGAGAACCTCAGCTTGGGTACCTGGGTGAGTTATTACAAAGAGGGAGGCATGCTCAACTTACAGAGAAAGGTAGAGAGTGAAGACATTATTACCAATGAAATCACAAGCTCATGGATTATCTTTAGCATATGGAACACTTGTGAGGCTTATAAGCTTCAACTTAAAAAGTCTCAGCCACTTAGGTTTCTTCACACAACTTTAAATCATGCAAGAGACAAAATTTTCCCTTGTCTGAGAATGTCGGTTAGTGACTCACTCTGCAGACCCTTTGGGTTTCTCTTCCTCTATGGACTCCATGGAGAGGGAGAGAACCTTGGGGAGCTAATGGAATCCATATGGATGTTCACATCAAGGATGGGAGAAAGTTTGAAGGACTGCAGAGTGATTATAACTGAACTAGGGTTTGGGGATACACTTGTAAACCATGTCCCTCAAGCAGCTTCTATGTCGTGTATCGATGATATTTGGTACACGAAGAGAATTTCAAGCCACAGTGACGAAAAGGATGATGAACTGCTTATGAAGAGACAAATCGGGAATGTGTTTGTTGACCCTAGAGATTTTTAGGTATATAATTTTTCGCGGCTACTTTTGTTGATGTATCTAAGATGACTTCTAGCATCATGATCTCAGCATACCATTGACTTGAAATTCTCTCTTAGTTGAAGGATTACAATCAGTTCATCATATCGCCTTTTTTTTCTTTACTTTTCGGTCTTTTCTTTCTCCAATCCAGATAGACGTATCATTGTTGCAACAGTTCTATATCTCAAAAGATGGATTTAGTTACTTATATCATTAATTGGTTGAACATAAAAGAAAATCAAAATACCTACATGTTTTCCTTGGAATTTACGATGCCAAACTTCAAATAAATCAATGCTTCTAAACCTACTTCTGTTCGTGGCATATGGCTGAAAAGATACCCAGTTCCCCGTTTCATATAACCGTTTTTTCTTTTTTTTTTTTTCTTTTTGTAAAATTATACTAGACTGCTTAAATTCGACTTTTTTAGCATTATATATAGTACTATTTAACACCATTACATTACCCTCTTCATGTAATCATAGGGTTACTTGAAAATTAAAAGTGGTGCGAATCTTTTGGTGCCACGACACTAATTCAAATAAGTTGGAATTAAGCTTACATACTGTGCTGATGCTGATGCTGATGCCGCAGTCCAAGGTATACCAGATCAATTGACAGAAATAATGGCATAAGGACACTAATATTTATTTAACGATATTTAACTTTTATTTATAATGAAAAAGGGTCTGTTAACAAACAACTAAAATAAGTACCTACGTTGCAAGCTATATAAATTAGTTGAATAGGAAATAAGAGTATCTTTCGTATGCAAGTTAATTATAGGCTGATTTTATAAGTTATCTTGAAGAGTTTATTAAAATAAATTAAAAAATAATTTATATAAAGTTATTCCTATATATATATATATATATATATATATATATATATATATATATATATATATATATATATATATATATGTAAATACTTGTTAAATGCTTTTCACAAAACAATAGTCCAATTAAATTACAAACATATAAGGTCTCCGAACCCAACCTAATAATCAGAACTTAGCTTCTTATCATGTTGAAATTATTATTTTTAGAAACTTTAATTAAAATATAAACATCACGATAAATAAAATATGCAGACCAACAAAATATATAAATATAATGTAAATTAATTAATTAATAAATACAATGCATCAATAATATTTTTTCGCTTGGAATTCAAAGTTTCCTCAGCTACTGAATTGGAACGTCCAAATTCCGCGGAATGATATTCTGTCCTTGGAATTTCGTCTTCCAAAATACAAAAACTTATATGGAATTTTCCAAATTTCGAACATATGAAATTCCAGGGTGTACAAGTAGCACTAATAATAGTTTGCTTAAAAATAAGCAGCTATACTACGTGTCACGAACCTCAAAAACATGATATATTAAGTAGATAGAATATATAGAATCCCAACTAGAATTGCAACATGAGAAACTTCAGTTCTGACTCTATCATTAGTGTATTATTGAGTGGACTGTTTTTTTCTCTTTAGGACTCATTTTTACCCATTAATCTTGAAGCTCAAAAATAATACATTTTTTTTTTACTGAGTGGGTTAGTTTTATGAATCAAACAATTTCACATTATGTTTGATTAATGAAAAATTATTTGAAACCAAATTTTATCAATAGTTTGAATTACAATTATTTTTGGCTTAATGTTCATTAGATTTTATCTTTCAATTGTACCTATGAATGCGAATTTTATATTGGTGGAATTAATTGATAAAGCATAGCTTATATACTGTTATATATTGTTTTAGTGATATTCATAAACGATGCTAGATTAATAATATTTAGACTATCAATTGGATTGATTCAAAAAGATGAGATGAAAATTAGTATATTTTCTTTTTGATTAAAAAATATTTCCATATAATACCGTGTTCAACCCATGGCAAAACACCTCTCTCATGCCACGGTCATTCTATTAAAATCCAAACAATTTTTACAAGACAGACACCACCCTAAAGAACGTTACTTTGGACTTGCACTCTAGCAATTCGATTATTTGGTCGCCATATCCTTCTACCAGATGGACTTCTCTTCACGGAGGAAATTTTGGGCGCTTCCAACTGAACTTCTAGATTGGACGGATCTAAGAATAGCCTTTTTATAATGAAAGCATCCAAATCGAAGTCACTTTCACCATTTGCATCATCCTCATCATTGTCGTTACTAGAAAAATCGACCTTGTTTTTATCTGTTCCCGCGATACTTCTCAAAGAATTAGATGGCGTGTTGTAAGAATTTGGGTTCAGCTTGAGGAGCGTCTTTAAACTGTCAATGGCCGGATCTAAAATATCTAAGAATCCCATAGCCCATGAAGCATCATCTACAACTTCTGTGCGCTGTACCATGCAACAGATAAAATTTCTTATGTTAGCAGCGCGCAAATATTTTCTCAAATCTCAACTTAATACACACAAATTGATAAACGCCCAAGTTATAGAGAAATTATTGCATAATCCCAGACCATATCGATGATGTTGATGATGATCCTAACTAAATATCTACATGTGACACTGTCGAATCTTTCAATTTACAAGAAGTAATAATTAAAGTTTAACTAGATCATGTAATACTTTATCCAATGTATGACAGTTACCTGTTGGAAATAGAGATTACGAATCTCTTCAGCACGCACAGAATTTCCTTGTTCTTCCTCCATTGATGCCCAAGTCATCCACGTCACATAACTCTGGGAATTTATATTCAACGAGGATTTAAATAATCTACGAGCAGCTGAAGGATTGCCAACCCTGTGCTCCATAACACCCCAAGCCTGCATTGGGAGAAAGTAGTTACAGAAAGTGATTATTAAGCTATGTAAAGGCAGAAGTTGTCACAACATTTATCATACGCATGCGTGTGTCACCTGGAGACATCTGGCAGCAGTTTCACTGTTTTGATCAATTGATAAAGTTTTTTGGTATAATTCTCTGGCTGTATTCATGTTTCCTTCCTTCCATTCCATCCAACCCCAAGCCTACATGTCCCCAAAATTTTCTGGTCAATCATTCTCTTTTCCAAATAGTTATAAACGAAAAGAAAAGAAAATGTATAGGTGTGGGAATCAAAATTATGCAATAAAATAGAAATAATAATTCATGAAAAAACTTGAAGACCGTGTTTTAAATCTGAAAGATAATCTATCTTGCATATTCAATTAGTATATTCTATTAAACATTAATTAGAATCCAGAACCAGATCAGGACAGTAAGAAGAATGCCATGATAAATATATGATGACATAATTACTCGTATAAAAATAAAATAGAAGTGGCATATTCTGTTCCTTTTTAGTCAGCACTACATCAGAAATAGAGTATGGTAAATGTGGAGAGATAAATTCCTCATCATGTCAAGCTTACTTCAAAGCAGATTATACATGGAAAAGAAACTTGAGTAATGATAATTAAGAGAGATAAGATCCAAGAGAAGAAATTTCTTACAAACCAAACAGGTTGGTGCCTTGGATTCAATTCTGATGCTCTCCTGAACAAAACCCGAGCAAGGTTTGCAGTTGAGTGTTGGTATTCTAATAAAGCAAGAGATTGAAGTAGAACAGGATCCCTCGGATTTAGATTGTGACCTATCTTTAAAAGTTTTCTTCCCTTGTCAATGTTGCCCATGTTTGCTTCAAAAAGGCCCCATACATGCCAAGCAAACCTATTTTTAGGACTAGCCTGTACTGCTTTCTATATATATATAAAAAAAAAAAAAAAAAAAAAAAAAAAAAACAGAATACATTTGTCACGCAATGACAAAAAATAATAAAAGCAAATGATGAAGAAAAATGTCATTACTCCTAATGAGTGTATAGTCTGCCAAGTTCCACCAAGCAGAGGAATCAGGTTAAAAAAAAAGAGAGGAACTGGTGGTGATGATTACAACCTCAAACAACTTCCTAGCAGCACGATAGTTTTCCCGTTCCACCTCCATTTGTGCCCAACTCTATTTTAAAAAGAATAAATATAATTTGATGAGATAACAAGCACTGCATACAAGTTTAATCGAGAAAACGATACCCTCAGATAACCATGACTTACAAGCCAACTAGCACAGCTATTAGGATTGCACTTGGTGGCCTGATTGAATAAATAACGAGCCTGCTGATATCTATTTGCTCTAGCTTCAAGCAGTGCAAGTGTTTGGTATATGTACTCATTCTGTCCACAATATTGAAGGCCTTTACCGAGTAGAGTCCTTGCCTTCTTTATATTTCCCTGCTTTAACTCTAGAACTGCCCATCCATGCCAAGCAGCAACATGCTTCTTATCAGCAACCGTGGCAGCATCAAAAAACTCTCTTGCTCTCCTGAAATTTCCCATTTGCATTTCAAGAACAGCCCAGCACTGTTCAAAGAGAACTTGTACTTGTTAACTTCAGAGGTTAAAATTCAATGCATCAGAGTAGCAGCTGAAAATAATCTGTCAGGTTCAGTGCATGCCTCAAAGGAATTTTATATAAGATGAAGGGGCAATTTTCAATGTACGAAGGGATTTGATGCTGGAAGTTTATAATCAACTAAGTAAGAAACTTGATTGACAAGATTTAGATTAGGTCAGAGGTAACAGGCATCACTCATTGTCTAAAGAGTATGGGCTATATTTGGGTAAACTTCTCTTAAAACACTTTTAAGAAAGGAATATTGAAATAAGTTTCTTCACGAGCTAATATCAGCTTATACTTAAACTAATTTATAGAGGTTTTCTTATATTAGTTTCTTTAAAAGATGATTTTTAACTCATGCATAAGAGAACTTTAACTAATGATCAAATCTATTTCATTTTTCCTTCTTTTTCTTCTCATAGAAATATATTGCTGAAAGTTTACAGATAAGCAGCTTGTCTCCTGCAATTTGTAGCTGACACTCTCACAATTAGTGAGAGTCACTACCACATTCCTAAAGAGGGAGAAATGGGACCCAACCATGATTCTGCTACGTTAGAATGATAAATCCTCCTCATATCTTATCTTCACAGCTTCGTCTTCATAGGATGTAGACAAATAGGTTTTATCACTTCACAAAAAAAAACTACCTTGATCTAAATCCGGTTCCATTTAGATGCTATAAATTATCATAGGAGAATTGCAAGCACTATAAACTATGTCCGGAATTCTAAATCTTTAACACACTCTCCAGTAGTCTCTACAAGGTAACAATTATGCATTGAGAAGGACAGGACAATTCAAGTATTCTACTAAGGACAAAATTTAGATACAGCTGTTCACATGTTTTTGATACTTTAACCCAATAAACGTTAGCGTCTCACACTCTCAGCGTTGAACTTTAATGTAAGAGAAATTGGGTTTTGGTACTGTTATTTAAAAATTCTCTCCCTCTCTCTGACCTAGGTGTACCCAAATTTAGTGAACTATTGGCCCAAAAAATAACTTTACCAAAACCCATACATTTTTTGGGTACCATAGCAACTCTCCATGTAATCTATATTACACGAATCACTAATATAAAACTCTATTCTAATTGAATAAAAACACCTAAGAAACTGCATGTATGTATCTTCTCACTAGTAATCCATGAATGAGTTCAAACTTATAAACTAGTAAGCACGCGTTTGGGTTGAAAATTACAAACTTAAGTTAAATGTAAATGTACTTCTCCTAGGAAATCAAACATTTCACCAAAATGAGCTTATTGGACGATCATGATTTGAAGGAGGCAAAGCAAACAATAAACCAAACATACCAAAATCAGCTAGAGAGTCTGAAGCGTGATCACCAAATGCAAAACACACTTGAACACTAACCTGCCAAATGTAGGCATTTTCACCCTGCGTAGCCTGGCAACCCTTCTCGTATACCTCTCTGGCTTCACCTGTTTTCGATTGCTTGCTCAAAATCTTGCCAAGTACCACGTAAGGTCGACCATCTTCAGGCCATAAGCTTATACACTTCCATTACCATTCAAAACAAAACCCACCATCAGAAAAAAAAAAACGCCAATATCCCCACAAAATCAAATTAGCAATTAAAAAAAGGAAAAAAGATGACACCACACCTTCTGAAGCAACGCCTCTGCTTCTTTATACCGAAAGCTTCTTCTAGCCATAAGCTTCGCCCTGTATAACGCCAAGTCCAAATTCACTGCCAGGGGTCTCTCTTTCGACTCCACCCTCTCAGGTTCAAATATAGGCATGTTCTTCGCGAACCTCGCGAGCCCGGCGTCGATCGCCGAGGCCTTCGCGTCAACACTGTCCTCCGCCTCCTTCTCTTCCTCCTCCTCCGCCTCCTTCTCTTCTTCCTCCGCGCCGGGAAAATACGTCACCGGCCGGCGAACAACAAGGGCTTCCTCGGAGCCCGATCCTTCGGACGAATACGCATTGCGGGAATTCTGTTCCGATGAGGGAGCATTTTTGTCCAGCACAGTGGCCGACGAGGATGAGTCGCTGACAGAGCAACACGGTGCATGTGAGTGTAGGGGTAAAATGGGTACTTTAGGTGTGAACTTGAAGAGATAAGTAGGGTTCTTGGACTGAGTTACGAAAGCGAAGGTGGAAGAGGAAGAGGAAGGGAGTGCGTTCATTTCTGGTTAACGGACTAAACTGTTTCGTGTTTTCTACTTACAGAGCAAAGGTTGAAGAGGAAGATAACCAGCACAATTACCCTTTTAACCCTCTATTGTACTCGTAAAGATGATTCCTTGTTACGTGATCGAGAAATTTGTGATTGAAGTGGAAGGGTACTTTGGTAGTTGCACATGTTATGTGTCAGTGGACCGAAAGTATCCACGTAACTATGTGGCTTATGTGGCTGAGGCCTTCATCCTGAATTCAGATTTTAGTCACACGTGTGGATTCGTGATTGGCACATGTCGTCATGTTCTTGATTTTTCGAACGTGGATATATGATAAACGATTAATAATGGGAGAAATAATAAATACTCGAAGTAAATGTTATATATTTACGTTTAATATTCAGCGTTCGTGTTTCTGTAAGATTTACAAATATTTTTGTCGGGATGTTATTTATGGGTGTCAAATCTAATCAAATGGAATGAAAAATAATAATGTTATCTGTTATAAAATTATTAATTACAAATATTAACAACCTGTTTCTAAAATTTAATTGTATTTTTAATATATTACATTTATAACTCTAAATTGATGTTTCCTTGTCTCAAAAATTGATTTTTCTTGTAATACTGTTTACTCACTGTTTATTCGGCCTTAATCATCAAAAGCATTTTCGAAACAAGCAAATATGTTTCTTGAACTTTGAAGGAAAATCTTTATAAGCTGAAATAGTTATGCACTATATTTAAAATTTTTCAAAAAGCCCGTTTTTAAATATATCTATTTAAGAATGCTTATAGACTTTTTTGGTACGCCATGTTAAAGAATATCTCCTATAAATACTTTCATTCAAGTTTTTTATTTGTAGAGAGGATAATAAAAATCAATATAATTTATTAAATTTATGTTTATTATAATTTTCTACTTCAATATCAATGTTATTATTTTATTTATTCAATTATTATTTTCTCTTATGTGGTTTACATCATATACATTTTATATATTATAGTTTTTCTATTATATTCTTTTAATATTTTTTAGATTTACCAAATTATTCTATTTTATACTAATTTTTATAACAATTTTTAACACTAAAAGAGATGAAAAAAAATCGAACTTTGTGTATTTTTCAAATTGATGAGTAAGATTTATTATTTTATTAGACTGATCAGTAACTTCACTTTATTTTGTTGAAGTAAGTATAATAAAATTTGGTTTAGTCATAATTTGTTTTAGAGGAATGTACTTTATTTAGAAAATATGTCGACGAACCAGATGTATTTTTGACATCTATACAATCTCAAAATATAATCATTGAACAATTTGATAAAGTGGAACTTTTTCAAGGCATTTGATTTAATATAATTATTGATTAATTTATGTATGGAGTAGTAACTAACTAATATTGCATGTTTCGTACAAATCCATCACACATAAAAAAAATCTATAATTTTGGAAAAGGAATATTAAGATGAATATTTGAAAGTAATGTTACTCTATCTTAAATTAATAGTTTTGAATAAACAAGTATAATAATTATAATTATTATATCTACATTTGTTGAAATTTTTCTTTGAGACGATTGTCTTATTGTACTTTATTGATTAAACTTATTTGTTCTTTTTTTTTAATAGACAAACAAAATATTAATGAAGAAAATCCAAGATGATTAAATGTTGGAACTTCTAACTTTGTTCTACATGTTGAGAACCTATAGGGTTAAGCCATGGATGACAATCTTAATGTTATTTTTGTTTATTCAGTTGTTCATTTTGGTTATGTATTTGACATCGTATACATTTTACAAGTCATAGTTTTTTTATTTAATTTTTGTAATCATTTACACTATTCAATAATTTCATATTTACTAAATGAACCAAATTATTCATATTTGTTTCTTTTATATATATATATATATATATATATATATATATATATATATATATATATATATATTATTGACTTTTATATAGAAGCTCAAATTATTATTATTGTACAGTTTGGTAAGGTAAATTTTTTTCAATATATTTAATATAATTATTGATTAACCCTTTTTACGGAACTAGTAACTAAGTAACATTTCATATTTCAGTGATTCATATGTTCAAATTCACTCACCAGAAACACAAAAATAATTTACAATTTTAAAAAAGGTATGCTAAGGTGAAATTTTGGAGAAAATGTTACTCCATTTTAAATTAGTATTTTGAATAAACTAAAAGTATAAAATAATTTTTGAATAACAAATTTATATATATTTGTTTTATATATATTATAAAAATTATGAGATACTTAATTTAATCCTACAAAACTGGGTCAGCAAGTAAAGTGATAATTGTACTTATCTATATACTATTATGTTATAATATCTTTAGTTGATGTAAGATTTTTTAACTTATATCCTCGTACTGAAGAGAATTTTTTTCATTATACTCCTTATATTAAAAAAGATTTTTTTATCACACCCCCTCACAATAAATATGAGTGGTTCAATATTATTCAATAATGGGTGATTAAGTCTATCACTGAGTGGTTAAGTCCATCAATATTAATGTTATTGTCAGTGGTTAAGTCTATCACTATTAAATGTTATTATCCCAATAATGGGTGGTTAAGTCTATCACTATTAAATGTTATTATCCTAATAATTGGTGGTTAAGTCCACCACTATTTAACAGGATTACCACTAGCAATTGTAGAATAGTATGATGTTGACAGTATATCTTCTAATGAACCAATCTAATCAGCATCAATATAGACATGAATTTGTTGATAATTTGTATTTTTGGTAAATAATAATCATTTTCCAGGTGCTTACTTTATATGTCTTAAAATGTGCATAACTGCGTTTATATGTTGCTCTCCAGTATTATGCATAAATTGACTAACAATACTTAATGCATAAGCAAGATCTGGTCTTGTGTATGCTAAGTATATCAATCTCTCCACATGTATTTGATATCTCAATTTATCAACCAAGACTTGATCTAATGTAATAGATAATTTCAAACATTGCTCTATTGGTGTATTTGTTGGCTGACAAATTGACATACCTAATTTTTTAACAAGTCTAAGACATGTTTTTTTTGTGACAAAATATTTTAAGGGACAAAGATCTTTCATTTCAAACTCATTTGATAAATACTTTCGTAATGTTTTACTTTCCTCTTATCATTTCCTATAATAATCATATTATCCACATATACAATAAAATGTAGTTATCTTTCCTTCTTATTTCTTTAAGAATAAAGTGTGATCTAAATTACTTTGATGATATTCAAATGTTGTTATAGATTTTATAAACTTTCCAAACCATGCTCGTATGGATTGTCTCAACTTATACAGAGATTTTTCAAATTGCATACCTTTCTATTGTATTTTTAGGTACCATACAACCTAGTCGACTTTCCATATATACTTTTTCATTTAATTCCCCATGTAAAAAAGTATTTTTTATATCAAACTGCTTCAATGACTAATCCAAATTTGTTGCTAAAAATAATAATACTCGAACAATATTAATGTTTGTTATCAAAGCAAATTCTCTATGTAATTAAATCATTCTATTGTACCATCTGTTTTGTGTTTGACAAAGTAAGTCTATCAACATCTTATTGGTTTATTTCTTGGTGGACAATCAACAAGGGTTCAAGTTGTATTCTTTTGAAGTGAGTCAATCTCCTCATTCATAGCGGTTTTCCATCTTAGGTCAGTTAAAATTTCCTGATTGTTAGGAATAATTACAGTAAATAACTTATTCATAAATATTTTATTTGTTTTTGGCAATCTATGATTAGATACATAATTACTCATAGGATATTTAACTTTACGAGAGAGATAAGTTCAAAAGTAAGTTTAAAAATACCTCTAGTGAGACGATTTTACAATTGTTTTTTAGCCAACAAATGATTGGTAGCATCTTTATCAAGAGTTTCATGTGGTACTTCAATACTATGTCCATGTAAAGATTTACAAAATCCTTCAATTTTATTCTCATTAAGGGGTTTATGTGGTGTTCAATGTTATCTTCATTAAGATATTCTTGTGATGCTTTAATGTTATCTATATTGTGATATTTCAATGTCACTTTCTTCTTTTTCTCTTTAAGGATGATGATATAAAGCTATATCACTTAAATTCATATATTCTAAAGTCTGGATTTTCTAGATTTCTTATTGGTTCCCTCCCTGAAAATTAGACTCAGAAGTAAAATACATTATATTTTCATGAAAAATCATATTTGTTGTTATATACATACGATGAGTAGGAGAATTATAACATTTATAACCTTTTTTATTTAAAGCATTGATAAGTGTCAAATATTCATGTTTTTATGTTTAAATATGACATTTATCTCATATAATTATAATAGAATTAGTAGTAATAACTGCCAATAACATCTAATTGCTCACATTATTGAATGTTGAAGAGTAAACTGTCAAACTAATGCAAATTTGTGCAAAATGCAGGTGAGAAACAAGAAGATTGTAACACTAGGTGTAAAGTTTTTGCTGAGAAAATTTCTATCCATTGAGCGAATATGAGGCAGGGGGACTCTTTCCATGAGGGCTTAAAGCGTTGAGTGGGTTTTCATCTACTAAGCGAATCTGGGGCAGAGAAGACTATAGTTTCAAGGTAACTAAAAGCGCTCAACGGTTTTGAATCTGCTGAGCGGATTAGGTCCAAAGAGGAAAACTTTATGGAAGGGTAAAAGTGCTCAACTGATAGGAATCTGCTGAGTAAATAGAACCCTTCAGGGTGAAGAAACCTCAATTCGCTAAGAGAATTGAAAAGTATTGAGCAGATAGATTAAATGGCTGCGAGGTTCTTTGGATATGAATAAAAGAAATAAAAAGAAAATGAGGGCATGAAAAATAGATGAGAAGAGAAATAAAGTGGACTCTCAGGAGCTAGTATCAAATAACAAAAACTAGTTGGATTTGAGTTCTCCGTCTTATACATCTAGAATTTCTGTAATCATGTATTGCTAAGTTTCCTTATGTTGGATTGG